TACACGTGGAGTCCCTGCCACAGTGACCACCGCAGGAGAGGAGCCAGATGACCCGGACCCTCAGTCCTCATCAGGGATCTTCTCCAGGCTCCCGGAGCCCAAGCCACCTGACGTCTTCAGGTAACAGCAACGGGGGGCCAAGGACTTTAATAAAAGGGAAGTAGTGTTTAACTTGCAGGGAAATAATATGTTCATCTCCACAACTACAGGGACTAGCCCAGGAGGAAAGAGTCAGTTCTCATCTCCAGGATACTCCAGCAGAAGAGAAAACGAGAGCCTCAGAGGGAAGACCCTCAGCACGCAGCCCCCCTGCCTGCTGCACCTGCCCCTCCGCAGTGGCCAAAGCCCTGTAGGGTCAGCTCCCCGAGACGGCCTTTGTTTGGGGGACAGTGTCTCCTCCTCTTCCAACTTCTCGGGCATCAGTTCTCCTACCTACTCTGGTCTCTGGAGTACTGGCTCTCGAGCAGCGAGCAGACGGAGCTGGGGCCAGGCGCCGCGGCCTGGGAGTGCGGCTGCCTAGCAGCAGGCGTTGCCATCATCGTCATCATCATCTCCGGCTGCTGAGGGCAGACGCCTCTGAGTCGGGGAGCCCACGGAGCCCACGGAGCCCTGCGGCTCGGCTGCCTCTGCTCCTCCGCCGCACGTCTCCCAGGAGCCCGCCGCAGACAAACAGGAACTCGCAGGGCGGCCAGTGCCCCCAGAGGCCATGGGCTCGTTCTCTGCTGATCAGAACAAGTATAAATAGCTGCCATCGTTTTATGGATGTTATTCTTTAGGGAAAAGCTAACACTTTAAAAGCTCATCAATCTAAAATTTAAGATTGAACAGACTAGGTGGGTAGGAGGTTTGAGTAAAGGTAAGAGAGATGGCTGAGCTGCTGGCCCCAGTGTCCTGGACCTTCACACGGCCTGGCCACCAGAGAGGGTCCTCTCCCCACACGCCCCGTGCTCCCTGCGGCACACGTGGTGGCAGTGTGCTTCCTGGGTGGCTAGGGCTTGGGCCTACACACGGGCCTGAGATCCACACAGAAGTGACATGGCCATGCCGGGGGCTGATGCCCAACCTGGCCCTCAAGTGCTCTGCTCCCTCTGCTGTGACAACTGACCACGGTCTCAAGAGCACTGTCCCTGAAAGCTGATAAGTGTCCCAGAGCTGCTCCAAGGAATTGTCACAGTCCAGGTGGCCTCGGGTGGGAAGGTGTTCTAGAGGCCAGAGGTCAGAAGTCAAAATGAAAAATGAAAAGGTGACGATGTGGCCCAGGGCAGAGCACCCTGGATTCAATCCCCAGCACTGAAAAAAAGCCCGAAGACCAGCTTTCCCAGAATTCTGGAAATCAGCCCAGGGCTTCCGACGGCCGTGGAGCGTTCATTCAGGAAGAGCAGATGAGCTGGAAGGATCAGAGCCTCGCAGCTATTCAGCCCTATTCCTGCCGCCTCCCCAGAGGCCCTGGGAAGCAGCCAATGACCCCTGGAGGGGCAGGAGGGGCCAGCCCCCAGAGGCCCCGTCTGCTGACAGCGGCCATGGTCGACCTGGCTGGCGCTCTGAAACGCCCACCCCTCGCCTGTCCTCCCCGGCCTGGACTCGGACGCCACTGGCAGTGGGTGGCTTTTCCCGGGGCGGCTGCTGAGGACCCTCAGCTGGCTGTTCAGTGTCACTGCGGCACAGGCTCCTGGGTGTGTGACCAGGAGACTAGGCCACGGACGCAGGGGCAGAGTGGCCTCTGTGGGGAGCCGGGAACCAGACCTGGCGTCACCAGCAGAAGGGAGCCAACCCCTGGGCGGCCAGCGGGTCCCCGAAGAAATGAGAAGGAGAAGTAGCGGGTTCTTCAGATGCCTGAAAAGGAGCGAATCTACACTCATGGGAGGCACCCCAGGGTGCTCGGAGGAGAGCCAAGGCCGCCAATGCCCACCAGGAAGCCCTCGCCCAGCGTGCGCAAGGCCCTGGGTTCCTTTTCTCCAGACAGAGAAAAGAGAGGGGGAGGGAGGGAGGGAGGTGGGACAGCAATGGCAAGTGGACAGCAATGGCAGGTCGACAGCCAATTCCGACCCCCACACCCCTGGTGAAGACCTGCCCCTGGGCAGCTCCAGATGCTGGGGGACGGGCAACAACAGGCGCTCATGTATCGCTGGTGGGATGCAGAAGGGCACCAACTCTCTGGAAGACAGCCTGGCAAGTGAACTCTTTCCATATACTCCAGGAGTCACGATCCTCAGGGTTTGCCCCGATGGACTGAAAATCTGTGTGTCGCAGCTTTGTTCATAACTGTCACTGCTGGAAGCCACCAAGTACCCCCAGGAGGTGAGGGGATGAAGAAGGGTGGCCCATTCAGATAACGGAATACTACTCAGCACTAAAAAGAGGTGAACCCAGGGGTGCTTAACCACTGATCCATGTCCCCAACCATTTGTTTTTTGGTTTGGGTTTTTTTTAAATATTCTATTTAGAGACAGGGTCTCACTGAGTTGCTAATGCCTCACTGATCTGCTGGGGCTGGCTTGGAACTGTGAAAACACAGGGAGGGGTTTAGTTGCACATTATTAAGTGAGAGAAGCCGGTCTGAAAGCCCCACGTGGTTCCGTGGGGGAGGAAGAGCTTCACTTCCACACTCTTGGGGTCTCTGACTGGGCCTGGGACTAAGCATCACTGACTCCAGCTGTGGGGTTCACTCTGGGGCGGGGTGTGCGTGGCGGGAGACTCGCGTGCATCTGCTGGGACGCGTGAAAACTCTGCTTCCTGTGAATCCTAAGCTGCTCTGGAGGTTGAAGAGGGGTGCTCTCCCACTGAGCTGCATCTCCAGCCACTTGTTCTGTTTTTCATTGTGAGACAGGGTCTCGCGGAGTCGCCCAGCTGGCCGGCCTCACACTGCAATTCTGCCCCGGCCTCCCGAGTCACCAGGACAGAGGGGTGCCGCGGTGCCGGGCTCATCAAGTGTGTATTTTAAAACAAAGATTTCGAATCAATGACCTAAATTTCCATCTTAAGAAGCTAGAAAAAATGAGCGAACCCAAAAGAAGGTAGAAATTTAAAAATTACAAAGATTAGAGTGTGGATAAATGAAATAGAGAATAGAAAATCAAAAGGGAAAGTCATTAAAAGTTGTTTCAAAGATCAACACAACTAATAAATCTCTAGCTACACTAACCAAGAACAAAAGAAAGAAGGCTCAAATTACTAGAATAAGGACTGAAAGAGGGGCCATTACTACTGACTTTACAGAAATGAAAGGAATTATAAGGGAATATTCTGAGTAATCACATAACCTAGATGAAATGAAAAAATCCTGTGCTAGTCAACTTTCTGTTACTGTAACAAATGCTTGAGATAAATTAACTTAAAAAGAAGAAAGGTTTGTTTGGTCTATGGTTTCAGAGGTTTCAGTCTATGACCCATCAATCCTGTTGCTTTGGGCCTGTGGCAGCACAGTACATCATCCCAGGAAAGGGTGATGGAGGGGGCCCGTTTACCTCAGGGTAACTCAGAAGCAAAAAGAAAGGAAGAGGCTGGTGTCCCTCTGTCCCCTTCGAGAGCACACCTCCACTGACCTAGAACCTCCCACTAGGCCTTGGATCGTTCCCCCCACCTTCCAATAGTGCAGAGCTGGGGACCAAGTCTTGACTGAGCACATGGGCCTTCGAGAACACTCTAGATTCAAACTACAGCAAATTCTTTAAAAGAGACAAATCACCAGCACCGACTCAAGAAGTAAGAGAAAATTTTAATAGACTAATAACCAGTAACGATATTAAATTAGTGATTTTTTTTTCAAATTATTCACAAAGAAAAACCCAGGCTGCAGTGGCTACACAGCCAGGGAAGAATTAATACCGATCCTTAACGAGCGTTTCCAAAAACAGAAGGGACACTTCCCACCGCTCTGTAAGGCCAGGTCTACCTGACGTCCAAACCCGTGAGAAAGCCACCAACCAACATTCTTCATGAATTCAGATACATAAGTTCTCCGTGAAATCCCAGCACTCCAGGTTCAGTGACATCAGGAAAGAGTCACACCCGAGTGAGCAGGATTCATGCCAAGGACGTGGGGCTGGCCCAGAGCGTGAAGATCAGTCCATGTGATGCCCTAATCAGGAGAATAGAGGGCGAAAGCAACATGTGCATCTCAGTAGATGCAGAAAAGGCATTTGACAAAGTCTAACGTCCTCTCACGATTAAAAAACTAACAAAGTAGAAAGACAAAGGGGCTTCCTCAACCTGATGATGCACAATTACAAAACCCACAGCTGCCATCACACTGGGGTGCTTTCTGGTACTGCGGACTGAACCCAGGGATGCTTAACCTCTGAGCCCCATCCCGGCCGAGTTTTGTTTGCTTGGTTGGGTTTTGTTTTTTAATATTCTATTGAGAGTCAGGGTGTCCCTGAGTTGCTAAGTGTCTAACTACTCTGCTGAGGCCTCCCGCCTCGGCCTCCCAAGTTGCTGGGCACTACGGACGTGGCCACCGCCCGGCTGACCATCCACTTACTGGTAAAAGACTGAGTGCTTCCCCTGAGGCCAGGAATACGACGGAGATGTCCACCAGACCTCTTCTGTTGGGCATGTTAGTCACGACCACAGGCACGAGAACAGAGAAGAGGCAATCAGTTGAAAAAGTAACTTGAGTGGGGCTGGCACTGGGGCTCAGGGGGAGAGCTCTCGCCCAGCACACGCGGGGGCCCTGGGTTCCATCCTCAGCACCACATAAAAATACATAGAATAAAGGTATTGTGTCCAATTTCAACTAAAAAAGAAATATATATTTTTTTAAAAAGTCAGGGCTGAGGATATAGCTCAGTTGGTAGAGAGCTTGCCTAACATTCACAAGGCCCTGGGTTCAGTCCCCAGAACCTACACACACACACACACACACACACGTGTATATATAGACATACCTACATGGAATGATCTCTAGTCACATGTGACATGATCTTATATATGGAAAATCCTAAGGATCACACCCAGCAAATGTTAGGATTAACAAACCAATCCAGCAAGGTTTCAGGATGCAAGATCAATATACAAACATTTATTGTGTTTCTGCACCCTAACAATGAACAAGCAGAAAGTGAAATTAAGGCAATTCCTTTTATAATGGCATCAAAGTGAATAAAATTAAAATATGTGCAAGATTCATACACTGAAAACTAGAAAATATTGTTGAAAGACATTGGGACACCTAATTCAGTGGAAAGACACCCCACATCCGTGGGTTGGAGACTTACTACTCCCCAAGTAAATCTGCAGCTCCAGCTAAATTCCTGTCAAAATCCCAGATGCCTTTTTTTGCAGAAATTGAAGAGCTGATCCTGAAATTTATATAGAAATACAAAGGATCCAGAGGAATCTGATTAACCATGTAATCTTGAAGAATGAGCAGGAGGACTCACATTTCTTGAGTCGAAACTCACCACAAGGCTGTAGCAGTCAATATCGTCTTGTGCAGGTGTAAGGACAGACATCCAGATCAATGAGACAGATTAAGAGACCAAAAATAAGCCCTTACACTTAGGGTCAATTGGTTTTCAGAAGGTGTTCCAAGACCACTCAATTCGGAAAGAACAGTCTTCCCAACAAATTGTTCTGGGACAACTCAACTATCCACATACAAAAAAGTGAAGCGAGACTCTTATATCACACCATATAAAAAAACTTAGTATAAATCAAAGACCTAAGTGTAAGTCTGAAATCAGAAAATCTTTAGTGTTCATGACCTTGCACCAGACAGGAACTTCTTAGATATGACACAAAAAACTCAGGCAACAAATGAATAAATAGATAAATAACAACAATAGACAGGTTGGACTTTGTTAAAATTTAAAACCTTTCCAACTACTAGGGAGGCTGAGGCAGGAAGACCACTAGACCAAGGCCAACCTGGACAACTTGTTGAGATCTTGTCTCAGAATGAAATAAAAGGGGCTGGGAGGTAGCTCAGGTGTCGAACACCCCTGGGTTCAATCCCCAGGACCACACAGAATGTGCGCAATCCCTCTCCTATTTCTATGAAGTGAGGGTCCCTAGAGACAAGAAGGGTGAAGGGCCCGCAGTGCCCCAGAAGCTGTGGCCACAGACCTCAGGCAGGGCAGGGGCAGAGGGTGACAGCGGTCCTGGTGCTGCTGAACTTGGCATGGAGGCCACACGCCCCGCTTCTCTGGGCCCACAACAGGCAGAGTCCCAGAGCACAGCCACTTCCAAGTAGGCAGACGGGGAGGGGACAGCAGTGTAGGCCACAGGCACCAGGAGGAGCAGAGCTGGCCGTGGGCTTCCCTCCCGTCCTGCCAGCGCCACGAGCAACACCCAGTTGCCTGCATCAGCTGCACGGTCCCGGGGGCCTGGCCCAGCCCCTTCCTCAGGTCAGAGCAGAGCCCAAGACGCAGCACCTCCTCTGGAACCTGCTGTGCTGGTGACCTCTGCACGGAAGAGGGTGGACACCTGCGGGTGGTCATGGGGCAGCAGGCACCCTGCAGGGGACACAGCAGGGAGCAGTGGGGCCCAGGTGTCTGCAGCTGTTCCTGGAGTTGCTCTCACCCTCCCCCACGCAGCAGGGGTGAGAAAGGGGGGAGTCAAGGCCCAGGGCCGGCCTCTCAGACACCAGGGAGCGCAGGGAGACTGTGCTGAGGTCCATGTCTCCCCGATGCCCACACCCATGCTCAGCCCAGGGAGGGCGCTTGGGGACAAGGCTCAGGCAGCGGCACCTGTGTCCCCAGGCTACAGGCTTCGATTTGGACAGTGCCCTCCCCCTGTTCCCAGGAGGCCTCCAGGGCAGGACCACGGCCCAGGGCGTCTGCGTGGCTGCACCCGTCCTGCTCCTGGCACCTTGGATTTCTGCTTCAATCAGACATTTTCTCTGGGCAGGGGAAGCTCCAGGGGGACTTGCCCAGCAGGCAGGAGGCCCTGGGTTTGGTCCCAGAACTGCAGAAAAAGGGGGGAAAATCATGGGCCGTGACAGTGGATCCCAGAGCTGTGAGAAGCAGTGCAGACGGCGCCGGCTCCGGGTGGGGTAGCACACGTGTGGGGAATCTCGTCGCGGCCAGCTGCAACAACCATTCAGCCAGCACCCAGGCCTCCCGGGTCCCCCACCCTTTCAGCCACACCTCCTGCCTCCCACTCAGCCCCTGGTGGCTGCGGTGCTGGCCTCTGATTCATGGCTCCATCAGGGATGCTGCACAAAAGGAACCCTACCCATGTGGGCTTCCGCCTTTCCTGGGGTTTCTGGAGACCCCTCGGCTGATGTGTGCCTCCATAATTTGCTCCTTTTCATATTCCCGTGTCTTCTGAATGGCCTGTCAGTGTCTGAGAATGCCCAGGTCACTGACCTCACACAGGAGGCAGCTTGGCTCAGCAGGCATGTGTGTTGGAGGGTGAGTGGAGCAAGTGGCCGTCTCCAGGGAGGAGAGGGGCCATTCTCACAAGGAGAGCCTTCCTGGTACGAGGGCACAGGGTGGCCCAGCAGCCAGGGGTGCAGGGGGCAGTTCTCGGCAAACTCTCGGGCATGGCTGGCTCTTGGAATCTTCCATCTGTTTCTCTGGTTCTTAATAAGGCTGCACACTCCTTGCCATCCCTTCAAACTCCTTTTCCAGCTGAATGTGCCAGAGAGGATTCTGATGTTGGCAACCAAGGACCCGGATAGGCCCCTTCCTTCTCAGAGGACATTATGGCCCTGCCAGCCTGACGCTCAGGCACATGTGACTGCAAGAACCTGCCAGGAGGCGCGGGGACAGGGAGAGACTGGGCACAGAGTTGGCCCTGCAGCAGCCATGGGCCTCAGGCTCCAACCGGGCATCCAAGCCAGCTGAGGGAGGCAGGAACCTCAGTGGGGACACCTTCCTCCGGGCTCCGTCCCTTCCTCCCCTCTCCCGACCCTGGCCAGGGCAGCTGAGCTGATCGGAGAGGGCAGCCTCGCTCCTCCCTTAAAAGAAACCCGGGGGCTGGGGCTGGGGCTCAGGGGTAGGGCACTGTGCTGCGAGGCTAAGGCCTGCCACGCTGCGCTCTTGCCCACTCCTCAGAAATCTGCCTTGGCCCTGGGCCCCTGCCTGGCACCTCTCCCAGCCCCCGTGGAGTCAGTCTGTCTGGGGGCGTCAGTCCAGGCCTGAGTCCAGGCGTCAGCAGACAAGCCCTGGAGCTTCCTGGGTGGAATCGCTGCTGCAGCAAACACACAGCGGTCCAGTTTCCTGGGCCCTCCAGGGACAAGGCAAGGGACAGCCCCACTCCTGGAGGGCCTGCTGGCTTTGTGCACCCAAGGTGGCCTCGAATGCCCAGGTGTGTAACGGGTCATCTGGAGCAATGGCAGACGAGGTGGCCTAGAGTCCCGCGCATGCCCCATGGGAGGCTGAGTAGCCGTGGCACTGCCATCTTCTTCCTGTGGTCCTTCCTTGAAACCCTGCCACCCCAGCCTGTCCATCCAGGTGGCAAACAGAGTGGCATCCAGTGTCAAACCCACAGCCACCTGCAACCAGAAGGCAGCAGCGGGCTGCATCTCCAGTGGACCCCGAGGGAGCCCAGCCCAGGCCAGCAGCACCCCTCACCTCCAGGGCAGCGCCTGCCGGGGCCAGCGTGCACAGACTGTCTCCTGGGCCACTCTGCCCAGAGCAGATGGGGCTCCCTCGCACTCCCTCCCCCACTCATGTGGCCTGTCCCCTGGCTGGGCCCCTGCTGACCACCCACCAAGGTCTCTGCAACAGTCCCTGGGATGAGCTCGCTGCACTGCAAGTGCCCAGGCCCTGGACTCTCCACGTGGACAGAGGCTGCTCAGGGTCCAAGGAGGGTGCGGGTCGGCAGCAGGGAGGGGCCACCAGCAGCAGCTGTGGCTCTCACAGGAGACGGTCAAGTGGTAGAGGTGACCTCCTGGGCAGAGAGGGCAGCAGGGCAGCACTGAGGGCTCAGCACCTGCCACCTTTGGACACAGCCCCAAGCACAAGTGTCCTGTGCCCCTGCAAGAGTCCCATGCCCTGCTCTGCCACCCCAGTCTGTCCCCTGGGGATGGCTGGGGGTCCTGGGGCAGCAGATACCCCAGAGCAGGCCCCTCACGACAGCCTTTGCCTCTCGCCTAAGCAGGGGAGCGAGGCAGCCCCCAGGGCAGCACTGCCCAAATGCTGTCCAGAGACTGCTGGGACCTCAGGTAGAGGTGGGGGCCGCCAGCGAGGCAGGGTCCAGATGCAAGGCCTTGGCCCCCAGCCCAGCCCAGCCCGGAGGAGGCCCCAGAGATGGGGGCAGGTGGCTGGAGGTGCAAGGTCAGGGATCCGGGATGGGTGTGTGAGATGCAAACGCTGGGAGGCCCAGGAGGAAGAGGCTGGCAGGATAGAGGACACGGGGTGTGCGCAGGAGAGGGGCCCAGAGGGAGCCACAGGGAGGGAGCCAGGAGGCAGGTGGGAAGTGGGAGCCCCAGCAGGAGGGAGCCAGGAGGCAGGTGGGAAGTGGGAGCCCCAGCAGGCGGGCGAGCCCACCGACCTGGTCCTGGCTCAGTCCTGGAGTGTTGTGGAGGCTCGGGACCATGCCTGGGGCCAGCCCTCCACTTCTGCAGCCCTCCCTCTGTCCTGCTGGGGCAGGAGGTGGAGGGGGTGCTCCTCCCAGGTAGCAGGGTGCCGGGAGGGGCTGGGAGCCACCCTCCTGCACACCAGGGCACACAGGGATCGGGCTCCATGGCGGGTTCAGGCTCCCTCTGGGTGGGCTGCGCTGATGGCCTCTGGGAACCCGGCGCCTCAGGAACCTGCTGCTGGCGCACTGCTCTGGCCACACCTGCAGAGTCACCCTGCCCACGAGCCACAGCACCCATCCCCGAGCGGACAGTCACCTCCCTGAGGTGTGGCCTCCCAGGACAGGGCCCCGCTCGTAGGGGCAGGTGGGTACCTGGTGAATGAAAGCACAGGTGGAGGCCGGGGACGACGCCTCCGCTTGCATGGGGTGTCCCTCTCCTGCGTGGCTATCTCTGAGTTGCTACTGTTTGGTGTTGGGCACAAGGCCACATGGTGACCGCAGGGCTCCAGGGCCAAGACCACGCTCCCCACTGCCAGGCAGGGCCCCCGTGGCCAGCCAGGTGGAAAGTCTTGAGGGCTCAAGGTGCACTGTGCCCACCACGTTGGCCTGGCTGTGGCCACCCGGGGGACAGGGAGGGTCCTGCAGGGGCAGGAGCAGAGGCACCCGGGGGTCTCGCCCTTTCCTTCTTCTTTCAGCAGCCACCGCTCAACAGCAACTCGACTGGCTTTCTAGGTTAATTGCTATTCCGAGCGCCTTCCCTGTTCTTTCCGCTTCCCGCTCCGTTGTCCCACTATTTATAGTGGACTATTTAAGAGGCACAAATTACTGTTGTAACAGCCGTTAGATTTCAAGAGACTGCTGAAGACAATTGCTGAAGGGTTTGCTGATGGCGCCTTCTCCCGGGGGCTGGCGGAAGCTCTGCCCCCTTCCTCAGGTGACGCTGTGTTCTCCAAAAGCAGGCCCCCCCCAGACAAACTGCTCCCCAGGAAGCTGGCTCTGCCACTCCCCACACCCATGTCCCCAGAGAAAGAGGGCCTCTCCCCTGAGGGCTCCCACCAGGTCCTCCGGCTCCACGTCCAGCTCTCTAGGCGGCAGGGTGGCTTCCACTCCAGGAAGCAGAGGGAGAAAAGGTAGCAACCCCAGCCACGGCCGCTCAGGCCAGGCTCACTGCCAGTGCCTCACCGTGTCCACTTATTAAATCCTCAACCAGGAGGTAGGTCCTGCCACCCTCCACAGAGATGCAGAAACCCACACGGCCCGTGGCTTCCTGTGCTGCCTGCCAGGTCCTGAGGCCCGCACCCTGAGCTCCTCTGGGTGGGCCCTCCTGGGGCTTACCTGGGCAGGGGACACGGTTTTGGCGCCATCTTCAGTGGTGGTCAGGTCTGCGTGGTTATTTAAGAGCTGAACACCATCTCAGGCTGCCGTCTGGCCCTCGTGCTGCTGTGCCTGAGGAAATGGATGGGGGACAGAGGCCTGTACCCGTGGGGTTTGCAGTGCCTTCGCTACCAGAGAGGCTGAGTCAGGCTGGGCAGAGCTCTGGGGTCCTGGCCCATGGGCGGAGCCGTGGCGGGGTCCCACGAGCTCTGTGGCTGGGGTTCATCCCAGAGGCGGTAGGTGAACGAGGGAGAAGGGGGCGGGTGATGGCTGTGGCAGGGTGGGGAGAGCCTGCGAGCGGGGGTGCCCGTGGCCCACAGCCAGCCCTGCCAGCCCATCCTGTCCTTCCCTCCGCCACACCTGCATTTTCACATGGAAACCACAGTTCTTGAGGCCAAGAGGGGGCGCTTCTCCTAACTCGGCTCGCCTGGGACCCTCAGGCGGCACAGCAGAGCCAGCCTCTGGCGCAGGCTGCTGCACGCAGCAGGGGCTGTGCTGGGGACTGCAGCCCCCACCCCAGACAATCCTGCTGGATTGTCTGCTGGACAATCCAGCAGAGTCGCGAGAAGCCCCTGGGCCTCCTGCCCACAGCCTCCAACACAGCCTGCCAGCTCTCAGGTCCTGGAGAACGGGGGCTCTGGGTACAAGGGAGCCCTGGACAACCATGTGGTATTTGCACTTTCCTGAAGGTCCCCAAGCACCACAGTGGGAAACGTGAAGGAGCGGAGCGGAGCAAGCTGAGTGCATCACGATGGTGGGCGGACCCACTGGGCCCACAAGGGCACATGCCACCCCCTAGGGGCTGTAGCATCCCAATTTAGAGAGTAGGAAGATGGAGGGCCCTGGCCATTCCAGAAAGCCGACCCTCACCCACGTCAGAGAAATCTCCCACCTGCCCCAGGGCCTGTCAGGAGGACCAGCTCTGGGGAGAGCTGCTGACCAAGGGAGAGGGCCTGTCTGGAAGACAGCCATGGCCCCTCTGCCTGACCCAGCAGAGCCCACTTCCCACACGACGCCCCCCCGACCTGGATGGTGGCAAGGATGCTGGCTCCTTCCGGGTCCTCAGACTGCAGCAGCCGGGGATGCAAGATGGCAGACCCGCCTTCTCCTGGAATGCCTGCTTCCTGGCTCAGGACGCCCGTGGGAGGGAGGACCACACCACCAGCGAGGGGCAGTGTCACAGGCCATAGTACCAACTTCAGGGTGCCTAGGATGGTGTGAGCCAGTGCTGGGGAACTTGCCGTGTCCTCCCACCTCTGGCCTTTGTGAAGTGGCCCTGTGTGGGTGACCACTGCTGGCCAGGTGGACTCCTGCCCGATGTAGTGGTCTCTGATGAGCTGGTGTGTCTGGAGCAGGCATGTTCTCCGAGAAGGTGCGTTTCCCTCAAAGAGCCTGCTGGGAAAACACAGGCAGGGCATCTCCTGGGGCCAGTTGGCTGGGAGAGTTTTCTAAGACGCAGATGATGTAAAAACACACAAGCAAGTTGGTGGTTCCCAGACAGCCGACAGCATCCCCATGCGACACAGCCACGCATCCTGGGCACAGACCTGAAGTGCGAGCAGGGACCCAAACAAGAAGTGGAAGGAAAGTGCTGCTTCTAGATAAACAGGAACCGGTCAACAGATTCACTGACCCTCTCTAATGGACTCCCTCCTCCCAGGAATGCTTGGCATTTCAAACAGCCCATTTCTAAAATCCTAAAAGCCAACACAGAGGGGAAACTGAAAATCGTGTTTCCTAAAACGACTTTTTTTTTTTTTTTTTGGTACTGGGGATTGAAACCAGGGGCACTTAACCACTGAGCCACACCCCCAGCCCTTTTTAATTTAGAGACAGTGTCCAAGAGTTGCTAAGCGCCCACTAAGTTGCGGAGGCTCGCTTTGAATTTGTGATCCTCCAACCTCAGCCTCCCGAGCCACTGGGATTATGGGCATGTGCCACTGTGACCGGCCTAATACTTGTGCTTTTGCTTTTCTTTTGCATTTCCCCCCAGTACAGAAGACTGAACCCAGGGGTGCTCTGTCACTGAGCCACATCCCCAGTGCTTTTTATTTTGAGATGTTTTCCCTAAATTTCCCAGGCTGGCCTTGAACTTGACCTCCTGCCTCCTGAGTCACTGGGATTATAGGCCTGCTCCACCACATCCAGCTTTTCTGTAGAAAAATATGTCACATTCCAAACATAGATAAAAAGAATCACACAGGGCTGGGGCTGTAGCTCAGCAGTAGAGCCCTTGCCTCGCATGCATGAAGCATCCAGTTCAGCATCATATAAAAATAAATAAATAAATAAAGATGTGTCCATCTATAACTAAAAAAAAAAAAAAAGAAAGAAACAGAAGAAGAAAAAAAGAATCATACAGTAACCCACCAGGTACCACCACCAACTTCAACTTGGGAACACGTGGGTCCTTCAAACTTCTCCTGCCTCTCAACGACCTCAAGGTCAGGAAGGTGACTGGCCTTCTGCTTTGTGGCCAGTGCTCCACCACTGAGCTAGTACCAGCACACAGACACCTCTGTGACACACAGCCACAGTCACCAAACCCCAGGCCCCCGCTGAAACACCGCTCTTCCCCAACCCACAACGGTTCAGGCCTCCTCCTTCCCAGAGGAGCTCTGTGCAGTCCGAGAGAGTGCCCAGCCGCTGCGGAGGAGCTGCCCCTGGGGACATATGTGCAGGCACAAGGCCCAGGAGCAGCTTGTTCCGCACCTTCGTCCACAGAAATGCCCTGGTCTGAGCAGGACTTTCCCCAGAGGGATTTTCTCAAGAGGAAACCCAGCAGTATCCTCTCAGCTGCTAGCCACCTCGGAGCGCCCGCCTGCTGTCCTCTCCGCGCAGCTCTTCCTGTCCCGGGAGGAAGGGGCAGGTCAACCCAGGAAGTCGTTGGCGCAGAGGAAGACAGCCAGGCCAGGAGGGCAGGAGTCTGGCCCTAGGAAAAGGTGCAGCCTCCCGCCTCGCTGCCACCTGGTGGAGCCTGGAGAAGACAGGCCACCGCCACCTCCCCGAGGCCCCATGTCCTGCTCCCTGAGGTGCCTGGCATCAGAGCGCAGCAGGCCCTTGGGTGTGGCCTCCTCCTGTGACCAGCCTTGTGGGACCAGGGCCACATGTAGCCCAAGCACACCAGTCAGTGGCGGGACGGTGGCTGGGGTGCAGAGTCGCTCCCCAGTGGGTGAGCCCGGCAGCTGTGGGCTTGGAAGGGGCGCAGGCCTGCAGTGCTGTGACCTCACATGGCGCCAGCAGCCGGAGTCAGGGTTTTTACGCTAAATTATGATAATGCCCGACTCCCCAAATCCCGGCACATCTTTAATTTGTATCAAGACAGAATTTAATAATTAATTTATAAGACTTAAAACCAGCCCAGACTAGACCTGGAGGCAGGAGACACACAGGCACCGCGGGAACCATGCCCTTGACCCTGTGACTTCCAGCCCCAGGCAGGGAGATGAGCAGAAACGCAGCCCCTGGCAGAGCAGGGCGGAGGTCATGTTCAGCAAGGCAGGACTCGGGCTGGTGCAGAGCCAGGAGCACTGGGAGAAAAGCTTCTGCCCCGGGAAGCCCATTCCCTGGAGACCACAAGGAGCCCCCAGAGGGACTGGAGACGCCCCAGCAGCCTATTCTCCAGAACCCACTTCAGGGCCAGGGGCACCCCCAGAGGCAGATGCTGGCACGGTGCCTGTGCAGGCCCCAGGCAGGAGGGGACACAGCCCGAGTGAGCAGGGGCGTGGTACATCCTGGGGCGGGGCCAGAGAAACTGGACCCACTTCCCCAGAGCCCAGCCAGGTGCCTGCTCTCCTTGCCCCCAGTGAGGCAGACTCCATGTCAACACAGGGCTCTGTGGGCATGTCCATGTGGGGATGTCTCCGGGGGTGAAGTGACACCATTGGGAGATGCCTTGGAGAGGTGTCCCTGTGGGGGATGCCACCATAGAGACACGACACAGGGGGATGGGCTACTTCACAGACAGAATTAACTGAGGTTCTTCACTTGTGTTCCCTAAGGTCATAGGTTAGTAGACGCTATCGCGCGCGAGAGAGATGGCAGGTAGGTGTGGGCAGGAGGGCAACGCCTGGATAGAGACAAGTGGCAGGCAGGTGGGTGGGTGCATGGAAGAGACACCAGGAGGCAGGAGGGCAGGTGGGTGAGTAGTGTGTGTGCGGGTGACAGGTGTCAATGGGTAGGTGTGCGCAAACACCCACATGGGTGCAGAGCTGTCTGCACAGTGAACTCCAGGGGATGCAGGGCGCCCGTCAAAGAGAGATGCCAGCTAACAGCTCGGTGGCCACCATATGGCACTTGAGGGACATCTCAAAACCCCTAATGGCAGCAGCTGTGGGAGAGATGGGCACAGCTGTCACTGCTTCTTCCCGCCAGGTCCAGTTCAGAAGGCAACCAGCCTGTCTTCAGCAACGCCTTTCAGAACCAATTCCAAGCCAGTGCCCCTGGGTTCTCTGGTGACCTTTCTCTCCCCAGTAGAAAAGCCCACTGGGGAAGCATGCCCATGGGACTTCCACCAGGGGTCCTCAGTGGGGGCCGGTGCACATGGACCCCACTCTGGGCCCTTTCTCTTGTGGGGCCACATAACAGTGGCAGGGCCTCCTTCTCATCCAACCTGCCAGGGCCGTGGCCGGGGTCTGGACTGTGGGTCCCAACTCTTGTCTGGTTCTCATCTTGGGACCTTCTAAGCCAGCAGGGAGGGACAGTCCCCTCTTGCCAGACTGTGTCCATGAAGCAGTATAAGCAAAGGTGGGGGCTTCCAAGAACTGGTCAGTGTTCCAGTCCCACTACCTGTAGGACTGTCCTAACTCCACTCACCATCCTACAGCTGGGGGTGGGCTCAAGTCCACCCTGGCTGGGCCGCTCTCCAGGATGTGCCCCAGCACCCAGGGCTCTTCAGTTCCTGCCCACTGCCCCATGCCCACCTCACCAGCGCCTAACCTCACTGGGAATCAGAAGCCTCAGCCTCCCAACAGGAGGCTAAAATGGGGGAGTGGCCGTCACAACTGCCACTGTGGAAGAAGGGTGCAGAGACCGTCCTAGCCAAGGCAACGGCTTGTGAGCCAAAACTGTCATTCTCCACCTGCTCAGAACCAGCCGTGGAATGGAGTCACTTTGGTGGCCTGGACTGTCCTGAGCCGCCCTTTGCAGCTTCCAGTTATCAGGCTGCAGCTGGGCTCCTTGTCTATTTGCACCGACACGTACTGGAGGGACGCGGTGTCCCGAGATGGCCCTGCTAGCCTTATAGCCCTGGAGCTACTGCTCAGCCTCCCAGAATGTCACATCTGAACAGTGTGGCAGCGCAACGGCGTGCTTGCTCCTTGAAGTCCGCGAGTCCCTGAGCCACAGAATGTCCTCACCATTTAGTTGCTCAAGGAAGCCTAAGTGAACTTCCCAGCCCTGTGACCTATGACCCAGCTCTGTCTCGGCAGGACCTTCTGCAGCAGGGCCCTCCCAGGCTTTCTGCCCCGTCTGCTGGAGGACAAGTGGGCATGGCACTGGAGGTTCTTTCTGAGGTGATACATTGCTCCAAGATGGGCTGCAGAGGCCGAGTGCTGGGCTGAATTACAAGCTCAACATTTTTTAAGATGGGGAACCAGTCTTAAAAGGACCACAGATAACCATAGCGGCTTGGGAGGCTGAGGCAGGAGGATTCACATCTCTAAATAAAGCATAGAAAGGGCTGGGATGTGACTCAGTGGTTAAGCACTTCTGGGCTCTATCCCCACATGGGAATGAGAATGGGGCCCTGGCAGGCCCTCACCACACCCACCACGAAGCACCTCTACCCACCAGCTGCACTTGTAGGACAGTCCCCACAGTGACCCTCTGGTGTGTGCACCCTGTAACTGGGCCCCTGCTACTTGTGCATGCAGACAGGTGTGCAAGCTGCCCAGGACAAAGGAACTGTGGGAAATGCTGTTTCCCTAATGGCCAAGGTCACTGAGACTAGAGGCAACTGGTTTCTGATTAGGGGGTTCACCACGAGCTGTTTCTTACATTTCTTATGGGCTTCAAATGCTGTGGGGAGCCCTGACCCAGCAGAGGCACAGGGCCAGAGAGTTCCAGGAGACCTGACAGCCAGGTACCCCCACCCTGCCCACACACTTGTGTACAGGTCCGCAGACAGGGCCAAGGGGAGCAGGCTGTGCTGGGGGGTTCTCAGCCACCAGCCTGGGTGAGGACACCAGAGCCCACGGGGATTACTGGGTTCATGCAGTGGCGCAACACACACAGGAGTCAAAAGGGGCAAGTGGGGTGGCTACCAAGTGGGGTGAGGGAACCGTAAAGCCAGAGGCAGGGCAACCTTGGCTCCAGAACACCTACAAGTAAGGGAGTCGGCGGGAGAGCACAAAAGAACAGAGAAACCCTGGGTGTCAGCCAGGCACCCTCCC